GGGGCGGGTATGGGGAGGAGGGGAGGAAGTGGAAATTTTTAAAAACAAATAAATAAATTAATAAAAAAAGATTGTTTTCAACTTTAACACTTCATAGGAAGGTATCCTATGAAGGGTACCTTCATAGATAGGTAGGTACATATTGTCATTGTCACCAAATCACAAATTGGTTTAACTACTAAGATAGTATGAAATAATGATGGATTTTTTCCATTCAGGGTGGAAAGATATATAAAAAGCCAAAAAATTTTCAAGAAGTCAAAATAAAACATATTCACATTAAAATACTTGGATAATTAAATCCATGATTTAAATTGCAATGGACACAGAGTTTGCTGAGACAGTGAATTGATGTCAGATTTTTAAAAATGTTCTTTAAAAAAATTTGGGGTTGTAAGATGTGAGACTTTTCATATCTGCTTTTCATTTGATTTACTGAAGCCTGGAGTTATTGGAAAACTTCATCTACAACTTCCTTATTGGAAGACAGAGAAGGGCAAGTGATAAATGGAAAAATATTCAGCTTTTTAATTTAAAAAAATTTAAAATTTTATTTAATAGTCCCAGTTCCCCCATCAAACCCATCATCCACTCCTCAGAGGATGTAAGGCCTCCCTTGGGAAGTCAACAAAGTCTGGCATACCAAGTGTGCCCCCCACCCCCGCTGTATCAAGGTTGAGCAAGGTATTCCAGCAAAAGGAATGGGCTCAAAAAAACCTATTATGTACCCAGGATCAGTCCTGGTCCCACAGCCAGGCCAACCGCAACAGATCAAATCACATAACTGTCACCCATATTCAGAGGGCTTAGTTCGGTCCCATGCAGAATCCCCAGCTGTCAGTCTAGAGTCCGGGAGTTCCGACAAGCTTGGGTCAGCTGTCTCTGTGGTTTTTCCCCCATCATGATCTTGACCCCACATGCTCATATGACCCCTCCTCCCTCTCTTCAGCTAAGCTCCAGGAGTTTAGCTCAGTGCTTGATTATGGATCTCTGCATCTGCTTCCCTCAGTTACTAGATGAAGGTTCTATGATGGAAATTAGGGTAGTCATCAGTCTGATTACAGGGGAAGACCAGTTCAGGCACCCTCTCCACTATTGCAAGGAGTCTTAGCTGGGGTCATTCTTGTGGATTCCTGGGACATTCCCTAGCACCTGGTTTCTCCCTAACCCCATAATGTCTCCCTCTATAAAGATGTCTCTTTCTTTGCTCCCTCTCTTTGTCCCTCCCCCAACTCGGCTATCTCATGTTCCCATCCCCTTCCCAGTTTGTCCCGGAGATCTTAGCTAGAGAAATGGTTGTTTTGACAATGGAACCCACAGTGGCAGCCCCATCTACAGCAAATGTTCCTGACTAATGTAGTGGATTAAAAACATTTTCAGAGTTTTATGCATTTTCTGTTTTGAAACCAACCATTCTGTTTAAGCAAAGAATGAAATGATTGAATGACCTAGAGCGAGATGCTGACTTTGGAAGGTTTCATCACTGAAATTAGCGAGGAGGCACAGATCATTTCTAATTGGTTGTTTTGAGTTCCTTTGTCATCATCTACCTTCTATGTTCTTGTAGAGAACCTCTGGCCTAGAGGTAGACCTGGTTTTGGACTTTCTTATTTAAGGTCCTGTTGGAAGGTGGCCACTTATTGGTTCCTGGTCATCCGGCTAGCTTAGACCTGAAATGATCACACAGAAACTGTATTAATTAAAACACTGCTGGGCCCATTAGCTCCAGCTTCTTAATGGCTAACTCTTACATATTAATTTAATCTATTTCTATTAATCTGTGTATATCCACATGTCTGTGGCTTACCTGGCGAAAGTTCCAGCATCTGTCTCCTGCAGGGCTGCATGGCGTCTCCCTGACTCTGTCCTTCTTTCTCCCCGCAATCCGTCCAGTCTTCCCCACCTAGCTCTGTTCTGCCCTGCCCTTCTCTGTTATAGGCTTAAAGCAGTTCTTTATTCATTAATGGTAATCGCAGCACACAGAGGGGACTCCCACATCAAGGTCCCACGTGGAGGATGCAAACAAAATGAAATTCACAACAACAACAGCAGTAACAACAACAATAACAGCAACAACAAGAAACCCCTTTCAGCCCTAGACTCTCTATCCTGGAAATCAGTACTCTATTTTAGGAAAGTGCTTACCCATAGGAGTGGAAGACCAGAAGATCAATGGGGTTCTAATGATTGTGACATAACTAGACCCAGGGAGGTGATGGGGAGGAATCGAGGTAATCCAGGCAGGGCAACAGGTGGGCAAACTGATCATTGTTGAGAATTTGATGGCCTTTTCCTCGTGTTTAGTTGTTAAACTCAGCCATACAGTGGACATATATTGGGTAGCTACCATGTGCTGGGACCCTTGCTTGGGAAGTTAGCATAGAAGACAGTGAGCTGTCTTGTCCATGTGGTTTAAGGTCTAGCAGGTAACAGGCATGAAGTACAAGCAAAGAAACACATTGTGAGTCATTAGGAAAAAAAGTTAAGATGCTGGGAGAAAGACCAGGACTCATCACAGGTCTAAGGAAGGGACATTTACGCTGAGACCTGACACATATACTTATCAAAATAAAAGGGTATATTTGGTCAGAGAATGTGCTAAAACTGGTAGGATTATCTACCCTGTTGCCATTTTATAGTCTGACATCAGAATAAGGAATTATTTAGGGCACACTCATTCTATTTGGCAAATTCATCCTTGAGGGGCTTGTCAGAGAATCAGATACCATCGCCAAAGCAGACTGGAGGAAAACTTCAAAACAGACCTTTTATACTGGAATGACCAGGAGGAAGGCAGCCACAAGGGAAAGTGCAGCAGGCTGAGTTGACAGAGCCATCACAATCCCTAGGTCCTAACTGACAAGGCGGAGAACATGTTTGGAAGGAGCGCACAGGGAAAACAGCAGTGCTGCCTTTGAAGGGGTGGGGTGGCTCTGACAGAGGGACAGTGTCATGAAGTGACCCTGGATGCTCTAGCCAGCAGTACATTATTAAATTACTTCCTTCTCCTCCCTGCTGGGGATGCTATGTGGCTCAATTCAACCAAAAGGTGATACATTCCATGCAGGCTGACCTCCCAGGGTGGGGCTTAGTCTCCAGAAAGGGTATCATGGAGAAACGGAGGCAATATCCCAGGCTGAAAATCTAAACAAAGCATTTCCTAACGGTCACAGCCCAGTGGAAGTGGGAGAGGGCAAACAGATAAGGTATGAGCCTTGTGAAAAGACTGATCAAGGTTCGAAAAGGTTTCAATTAACCTACGGTGTGAGAGATCCACCAGAGTCCAACAGCTGCTGTGGAGAGACACTATCCTTCCGGCTTGTCTAAGGCTCTCTAACTTGGTCACTCAGATCTCTCGTTCTATCTTAATGCTATTTGAATCGCACACGACAGCAGCAGCATCATGGGAAATGCAAAGGCCAAAAATACTCACAGCTGAATGATGAGCTGCCAGCTACCCAGGCATTTGCGAATATTATGACAAACCATACTTCCTGGTGACGATCGTTCTGTTCTTTCTTTTGGGGGCTTACCGTTTTTTCTCTACCCAGATTGGGGATGTTGAAATGAAGAAAGGCAGAAACTGAGATGTGATGGTGATGCTAGCTGACGTTTCCTCAGTGGCATTTCTACGTCAGAGAAAGGCATGGCCACATTTACTAACTGCCTCCTATTTTCTGTTTCACCCTAGTTTCAGATTAGGAATGAAAAAGACAGATGTAAAAATTTACAGATCATAATTTGTTTTTCCTGAGGCAGTAGGCAGAGAGCCCAGAGGCCTAAGGGTCACCCACAGACCCAGAGAGTTGGTGAGTTTTGTCAGGAGTTCATTGATTTCAGGAGGACTGATTGGGTGTTGAGAGGTGATTCACTGGCCAGCATGGCTGCTAAACACGTTCGTTCATCATAAGGATGCATTTGCCTGTGGTCTCTTTATTTATGAAGCTCTTCACAGAGACGAAGCTCTCTATCACAATCGGACAGAAATGCTGCCAAGTCAACAAAGCTAGCCTGAGCAGCTCTCATTTCAGAGGAGAATCAGAGTCTCCGAGCTACTGATCTGCCATGGTTGTACAGCTGGGAAGCAGCGAAGAAGCCGGAAGTCTAATTTCATCTTTTTCTTTAAAAAAAAATGAGAACAGCTTAAATGAAAAAAGTTAAGGAGTGACCTAGCAAGTCTCTTACTGTACTCAGGCCATTCAAGAGGGTCAGTTTAATGAAGAGATGTTTTCTACCAAGTTCTGTTTATGAAGTTGTCTGTTTACTAGACTAAAATTGTCACGTTGGAACCGCTGTTCAAACGTCCCTTCACTCGCTTCTCTCACCCCTTCCTCAGAACTAGTACCAAGACAGAAGCCACCCGAGGAAAGTCACCGTCTGCTGTGTCACAGATGCCCTTTCTTAGTAAATTCCAGTTCACACTGCATTTTGAATGGAAGAATGAGTTATGATCTTACAGTGTTCCTGAACTCATTTGGCCCATACACTGAGTACAAACATTTGGTAAGGTGGAAAGAACCAGGAGGTTTCAACTAAAAGGCAGGAATCTAAACGAGAACGGGTGATGGTGGCTGAGATTGCCGGAACAAAGGTGTCTGCTGAGGAGCAGTGAGCAGTGCCTGCCTTGGGCTTATTTTGAAAGAAGAACCAACAGGAGTTCTTGACAGTTTAGATGTGGCTTGTGAGAGCAAGAGAGGAATCAACTCATACAGTCATTTTGGCTCCAGAATCCAGAGAGGAGAAAGGAAGTGTTGTCGGTGAATTCAAAGACTGAGATGAAAAACATCTCATTTTTCATCAAGGTCAAGTTCAGTTTTGAAAATGGTGAACTTGAGATAGATGCCTATCTTCTAGACTTTTTGTGGTATATGTATGAGCTATTTTTAAATAATTTATTCTTCATAAATTCAGTAAGCAACAATTTTCGCATAATCTGCTTGAGGGAGAGTCTCATGTAGCCCAGGGTGAGCTTAGACTCACTATGTGGCCAAGGATGTCCTTGAATTTCTGATCTTCTATCTGCATCTCTCAGTTCTAGTCTATAGGTAGGAGGGACCATACCCAGACAAGTTATAAGCATATTTTTAAACTATTGATAGTTATATTCAAGATAAGTCTGAGACAATGAGCATGCTTGAAAATATTTTAATAACATATTCATAAAAAGTAGGTATTTCATGGAAATTGCCACAATATTTAGTGAAGATACTTTTCCTAAAAGTTATTTGAGTTGATTAAGTGGGAATAATTAACTACCATTAACACTAAATTTTATTTAGTGTTTTATATTAGCTTGGTTAAATTATGATTATCAGTATCCAACTGATTTCATAATCATAACCTTCTGATCACAAGAGTCTCAGTGCTTACAGGGCTAAAGTGATATTTGTTTTATACTACTTAAATTGGCAGTACATCATGTGTGAAAGAAACCACATTGTTCAGAAAATATGATGCCATCATAGGCTGGCTCTTTCCTTCCAATGGTGATATGGTCTGATTTCTTATTTTTACTTGGTTTTCTAGAGAGAACTAGAACTAATTATGATGATTCCACTCATGCAGCTGTGGGAGTCAAGAAGTTCTGAAGCCAGTGGTGTGATTATAGTCTGAGGTCCAAGGCTTGAGAACCAGGAGAACTAATGGCATAAGCCCCTGCTCAGATCTAAAAGCAGCAAAACCAGAAGCAGAAAAAGACAGATGACCCTGCTCCAGCCGTTTCCTTTTGTTCTACTCTAGCCTTCATGGGATTGGTACCCTCTCACAAAGGTGATGGTAAATTCCTTTTACTCAGCCTTGAGAGTGATGATCTCTTCTGGAAACACCACATAAAATCTCTAGTTGTCTGGTATATCTTGGTCCATTCACTTGACTCACTAAATTAACATCATGTAATCTGTACAAAACTCCCAAGACCCTTACCATTAATCTCAGCACTCGGGAGGCAGAGGCAGGTGGATCTCTGTGAGTTTGAGGCCAGCCTGGTATATGAAGTGAATTCCAGGACAGCCAGAGCTTATACACAGAAAGACCCTGTCTCAAAAACAAAAAACAAAAAACACTCCCCCAAAACAAAAACAAACCTAAAAAGACCTTTCTTGTCTTAGTACACAATGAAGCTTCAGTCTGTATCAAGTTCCACTTTCTGAAAAACCACTCACTTTGCTACCTCATTGACTTAGGCACAGTCAATGTAGAAAGGGCAACCTGAAGCATGAAACAGTGTATGTAGTATATATCATGATTTAATGTTTGTGAATATTATTATCTTGATAGTATACCCATTGTTCTGGGTCCATATTAGCTGGAAGTTTTATTGAATAAAGTGTTTTGTTTGTTTATATAATTTTCACTTATTCCATATTTTTTATTAGGGAGAGATTATATTAAGTATGGGAACATAAGACCCCCAGAACAAGGCAAAATAGTAGTGTTAGCAGGGAATGTTTACTGGGTAGTTACCCTGTGTGAGACAATATGTGAACTGTGTACTGTATGTTGGTCTTGGAAGAGCTCCACTAATGATGCTCCGTGTCAGAGAACTTTTATTATAATTTTAACTTGTATTTTCTTGTGTTATATGTATACATGTGCATGTTAAACGTATACACATGTACTCTGTGTGTGTGCATATGCGGAGTCATATGTTGTTCCATATTCCGATATAAATTGTTCTACATCTTATTTTTTAAATTTGAAATATATTTTTTAATACAGTGTATTTTGATTACAGTTTCTCCTCCCTCTATTCCCGTAGGTTCTCCCCTCTTCCATTTCTTTCTGGATCTATACCTTGCTGTCTCTCCTTGGAAAATAAACAAATATCTAAGGAATGATAATAAAATAAAATAATAAGATATAAGCAAAGGTGTCAGAATAGGACAACAACAACAAACCAGAAGAAGAAGAGCCGAAGAAAAAGCACAAGAAACACATATAGGCGCAAAGTCACATATGTTTGCACAAACAAGAATCCCAGAGACACACAAAATGGAAGTCATAATATATATGCCAAAGTTATGAGATTAAAAAAAAAGAGAGAATGTCCTGATTTAACATTATGAGGCAAAGAACCTCCAAAGATGTCATTTCATTTGTTTTATCAACTGCTGGACATGGGGCCTACCTTTAAAAGTGGTTTGTACCTCCAGTGATACTCCCTTGTAGAAAACTGAATTTTCATTGACAAGTGGCTATCAATTGGAGATAGCGTCTGGGTTAGGGTTGGCGCCATGTGCTCACTCTCCTTCCACCTCTAGGATCCCATCTCGTACAGACTGTTGCGGGTCCTGTGGACATCATCACAGTCTGTGAGTTTATAGGTGCCTGGATCATGCTGTGTTTAGAAACCTTGCTTCTTTGGTGTCCTATATCACCCTGTCTCTTATTCTCTTTCTGCCTCCTTTCCTGCAGAGTTCTCTGAGCTCTGGTGAGAGGGATTTGGTGGAGACACCCTGTTTAGGGCTAAGTATATCAAGGTCTTTCACTCTTCAAATTTTCTGGCTGTGGGTTTTGTATTTGTTCTCATCTGCTGTTGGAGGAAGCTTCACTGATAATGACTGAAAAATGTAGGGATTATAAGGATAATAGAACGTCATTTGGAGCCATTTTATTGGTATGTTCTGTTAGCACAACAGTAGTACTTGGTTTCCCTTGGTGCATGAAGAGTTGGTACTGACCAACTAAATATGAAATTATGATAATTGGAGAGCTGGTATTAACCGCCTAAATATGAAATTATGATATGAAAAATTGGAAGATCGGTATTGACCGATAATGTAAAAAAATCATGATTGTGAATGGTTGCGATTGGAAATTGCTATAAAAGAGGTTGTGACGGTGAATGTTGAGAGTTGATGTGTATGCTGAGAATGTTAGCTCTAAATGATCTTCTGTACCAGCGGAAGAAACATTTTCAACTCAGGCGATTCTCCTCTCCTTTAAAATAGCAGACTATAGCCTTTGGGAGCACAATTATTCATAAAGCATTATGATATATCCTGGCAAAAGATATGGCTGATACACAGGGCCTGAAAAGTATATTTCTCTTTACTATTCTCTTTTCTTTACAGAGGTCGGCAGTCAATGACGGGTTTGAAGCTTCTCCTCCCCAGATGCCTAAGACAGGAAATCTTGCAAAGGGCGCTTTCCAAAGACAAGAAAATTTGAGTAATAGGAAGAAGACTTTGCCCAAGCCAGGCGCAACCCATCTATCCTGTTGTAGAAGCACAGGGGTTGTTAAAATCTAATAAGAGAGAGTGGATTGTATGTCCATATTTCTTTATAGTGTGACAGCCAGGCTCTAAAGCCATAGGCCCCATCTGAGGTAGTCACGTAGCCCTGCAGACAGGCTTTCTCTGCCTAACAAAGGGTCAGGATGTTGTTGCTCCTTTCTTTGTAATTTGGAGGTTGCCTTATAGAGATGCTGATTCAAGCCTATGTGACAACTAGCATACACAGCAGACAGGTAGATGTGGACGTGACAAGACACCATTCACCTGGTTACCTAGGAGACAGATCTGGTGTATTTCCCAGCTCAGTTTATGTGTTGGTATAAAAGCTGTTTGGATAATAAACGAGAGGACTTCTTTAGGATGTGAACTCAGGACTTCATGAGGGACCACTGAGAATCTCCCTCCCAATTAAACCATGTGAGTTGTGTCTTTATTTCCATCTGCTCCACGCTGGTCAAGAGAGAGAGTTTATGTTGGGGTCTGGTCTAGAGAAATAATTTATGGTCCGGGCTAGAACCGAGCCCTAATATATAGGTTCAGGTTCTTGGCCGCCTCAGCAGTGCCCTGTGTGGGCTCCATCTCACAGAGTAGGTTTTAAATCAAATTAGATATTGGTTGGTTACTCCCACGAGCTTTGTGCCATTATCGCACCATCATATTTTTTAGGCAGGTCACCATTGTAGATCACAGGATTTGTAACTGAATTGATGTTTACCCTTCTCCTTAGATAGTGTGAATAGTACCTTCTGGTACCATTAATATTATTCTGTAGGGAATGGAAAAAGATCTTTACCAACCCCACATCAGACAGAGAGCTGATCTCTAAAATATACAAAGAACTCAAACAATTGATCATCAAAAGAACAAACAATCCAATAAAAAATGGAGTACAGACCTAAACAGAGAACTCTCAACAGAAGAATCTAAAATGGCTGACAGACACTTCAGGAAATGTTTAACATCCTTAGTCAGCAGAAAAATGTAAATCAAAACAACTCTGAGATTCCATTTTACACTGATAAGAATGGCCAAGATCAAAAACACAGATGACAACTTATGCTGGAGGTTATGGGGTAAAGGGAACACTTCTGCATTGCTGATGGGAGTGCAAGCTGGTACAGCTCCTTTAGAGAAATCGTCAGTGTGATGATTTCTCAGAAAATTAGGAAACAACTTCCCTCAAGACCCAGTAATACCACTTTTGGGCACATATCCAAAGGATGCTCAATCATATCACAAGGGCTTGTACTCAACTATGTTCATAGCAGCATTGTTTGTCATAGCCAGAATCTGGAAACAATCTAAATGCCCCTGGATCGAAGAATGGATAAGGAAAATATACATTTGCACAATGGAGTACTACACAGCAGAAAAAAATAGTGACATCTTGAGATTTGTAGACAAATGGATAAATCTAGAAAACATCATATTGAGTGAGGTAACCCAGACCTAGAAAGAAAAACATCATATGTACTCACTCATAAGTGACTTTTAGACATCAAGCAAAGAAAACCAGCCTACAATTTACAATCCCAGAGAACCTAGACAATAATGAGGACCCTAAGAGAGACATGCATGGATTTAATCTACATGGGAAAAAGTAGAAAAAGACAAGATCTTCTGAGAAAATTGGAAGCATAGAGACCACGGGAGAGGGTAGAAGGGGAGGGAGGGGAGAGGAAGGGAGGGGAGCAGAGAAAAATGTGTAGCTCAATAAAATCAATAAAAAAGTTAAAAAAATAAAAATAGAAATCCCCCCGCCAAAATACTATTCTGTAGGGGTGAAGGCTCTGTGTAGCTCTTGCCTTTAGTTTTGTGGAGAGCAATCTATAGTCTTGTATACTTCCTGAGTTGTTTGGGACTTTCCATGGGATCTCTTTGGCCAAAAACATGATCAGATGTAACCCATTCTTGGTACTGGAAGCTTCATTTGGTGACTAGGTATGGCAAGTTGGGGCTCTGTCTCCCCCACTATTTGTCAATTTCATTTAGATTGCCTTCATAAATGTATATAATTTAGGAACTTTCTACTGTATTATGTTTTCTTATGACCTCCTGAATGTCCCTTAGTTCTAGCTCTCCTTCCCCATATTCCCTCCACTGTCTCTTCTTTCCCTTCCCCATTTGACTCTCCCTTTTCACTCCCTCCCCCTTGCCCATCCAGAACTATCTATTATATTTCCCCTTCCTAGGGAAATCTTTTCCCCATAAACCCTTAATCTATACCTAATCTCTGTGGTTATACAGACTGTGGCTTTCTTATCAATGAAGTAACAGTTGATATCCAAATAGAAGCTAATTCATACGATATTTATCTTCCTGGACTTGGGTTACCTCACTCAGGATGATTTTTTTTTCTGTTTACATCCATGTACTTTCAAACTTCATGATTTTTGACTAAATATACCTTTGTGTAAATGTATTACATTTTCTTTATCCATTCATCTTTTGGTGAACATCTAGGTTATTTCCAATATCTGGCTATTACGAATGGAACAGCAGTGAACACGGTTGAGCAAGTGTCTCTGTAGTAGAATGACAGATGCTTTGAGTTTATGCCCATGAGTGGTGTCTTAGGGTTTCTATTGATGTGAAGAGACACCATGACCAAGGCAACTCTTATGAAGGAAAACATTTAATTGGGGCTGGCTTACAGTTTCAGAGGTTTAGTCTATTAGCATCATGGCAGGATATGTTGGCATACAGGCAGACATGGTGCTAGAGAAGGAGCTGAAGTTCTATATCTTGATCCAAAGGCAACAGAAGGACACTATGTTCCATTGGACAGACTTGAGCTTGTAAGGCCACAAAACCCACCTCCACAGTGACACGCTCCCTCCAACAAGGCCACACCTCCTACTAGTGCCATTCCCTATGGGCCAAGCATTGAAACACATGAGTCTCTGCAGGGTCTTTTTATACAAACGACTGCAAATGGTATAGCTGGATCTTGAGGTAGATCAGCTTCCATCTTCCTGGGGAACTGTCCCACTGATTTTCATAGTGGTGGTGTGAGTTTGCACCTGCAATGTATGCTTGCTTCTCCTGCTCCACATCCTTGCTAGCATATGTTTTGTCCATCTTAGCCATTCCGACAGTGGTAAGACAAAAATCTCAAAGCAGATTTGATTTGCATTTCCCTGATGGGTAAGGATGTTGAACATTTCTTTAAGCGTTTCTCAACTATGTGAGTTTCCTCTACTAAGAATTCTCTGTTTGGCCAGCAGGGCCTAGTGGCTCTGCGTGGTGGTGGTGGGGTGATGGGCGCCACTGAAGAGAACAAATATGAGACCGAGGGGTTGAGGAAGCTAGACAAATGGAGCGGCTTGTGCACTGTCTATGGAGAGAATGTGACGGCAATGACAGGTAGGAGAGAGGACTGCGACCCAGCAGGCTCGGTGGATGAAGCACAGCAGCCTTGTGCAGCTGCGGTCTCAGTCTCCTGACTTCCTCCCTGGCTGCGAGATCCCCCGTGGCTCTGGACAAAAATGGTTCACTCTGTATTGGGCCTCCTCCAAGGACTAGCCTGGCCTGCCCGCGATGCCACACGTGCTAGTGTCGGTGGTTCATGCTGCTGTCCCAGACCATGATGAAACCCGAGACCCATGTGGACATGCGCAGTCTGTGCTGCTGCCTGAATCCTTGGTGACGTCCTCAGGCTTTGCTGCCTCAGGGCGGCATGCTGATGTGAGTGACGTGTGTAACCACCCGAGGCCATGTCAAGGCCTGTGGCCTGTGCTGCCGCTGAGAGTGGTGAGTGGGTTAGTAGTCCTGAATCAGCTAAGAGCTGTGTTGATGTCTATCGCCGTTTTACCATCAAAGCCCACGCGGATGTCCATGGTCTCGGCTGCCACCTGAAGCCCTGCTCACATCTGTGTACAGGAGAGCTGGTTCCGCCCCTCCTAAAAGGGCTGGCCTGGCACTTCACCTGCCTTCGGTACTGGCAGCAGCATGGACATGGGCCAGCTGACTCCTGGCATTGCAAGGCTTCCTCAGTTTGTGACTTCTGGTATGGATGTAGGCAGAGAAAGCCTCAACCTCCCTCAGGGGCCTGGCCACTCTGACCTCGCTCCAGTAAATATATGGACAACACAAAATGGACTTTTTTTTTTCTTCTTCAGGGGGGAGGGGATGTGACAGGGGAGAGGGACAGACGTGGGAAGACTGGGAGGTGATTATGATCAAGGTGCGTGATGTGAGATACCCAAATGATCAATAAAAATAATTAAAAAAGAATTCTCTGTTTAGACCTGTGTCCCATTTTTTAATTGGGTTATTTGTTTTCTTGATACCTTGTTTCCTGAGTTCTTTATATATTTTGGGTATTAGCCCTCTATCTAATGTGTAGTTGACAAAAGTCTTTTCCCATTCTGTATGCTGCTGCTTTGTTCAGATGACAGGGTCCTTTAATGTAGACAATCTTTCCAATATTATGAGGTCCCATTTATTAATTGTTGATCTTAGCGCCTGTGCTAATGGTGTTCTGTTCAGAAAGTCTTTTCCTGTGCCAGTAAGTTCAGGCTATTCCCCACTTTTCCTTTTATTGTGTTCAGTGTATCTTGCTTTATGTTGAAGTCCTTGATCCATTTGGAGTTGAGTTTTGTGTAGGGTGGTAAGGATAGGACCTGTTTGCATTCTTCTACATTCAGTCATCCAGTTTGACCGGCACTATTTGTTGAAGATGCTGTCTTTTTCTTTCAGAGTATATTCTGGTCTTTCTGTCAAAAAATCAGGTGTCAGTAAGTGTGTAGACTTATGTCCCCCTTCTGTCTCTAATTTTTAAAATTTTGATATCCTCCCTCAGCCTTTTAGTTAATTTGGACAAGACTGATAAAGTCTTAATTGATTTTCTCAAAGAACCAACTCTTTGTTTTATTGATTGTTTGTATTGGTATTTTTGATTCTATTTTATTAATTTCAACTTTAAGTTTATTTATTATTTATTTTGCCATTTATTCCTTTTGGGTGTGATCACTTTTTTTTCTTTTCTTCCCCACCCCAAGATCTTTGGGTGTGTTATTAAGCTACTAGTATAAGATGTCTCCATTTTCTAAATGTAGATCCTACTGCCAGGTACTTGTCCCTTCGAACTGCTTTCACTGTGTCCTATAAGTTTTGGTAAGGTATATTAAGTTATATAAGTCCTATAAGTTTTTACTCAATTCCAGAAGGTTTAAACTTCTTTCCTAATTTATGTCTTGTCTTAGATTTCATTCCATAGAGAGTTGTTTAGTTTCCATGAGCTTGTAAACTGTTTTTTTTTCTTTTGTTGTTGATATCTAGCTTTAATATGTTGTGATCAGATAGCATGCAGAGTGTTGTTTTGATTTTCTTTTACCTGTTGAGACTTGCTTTGTGTCTGTCCATGTAGTTCATTTTGGAGAAGTCCCCACGACATGCTGAGAAGAAGGTATATCTTTTGGCGTTTGGGTGAAATACTCTGTGAATACCTGTTCGATCGGTTTGCTTTGTGATGTCATTTCTCTGTTTAGTTGCTTCCCTGCTTCCCTGATGGTGAGCTCCTCAGGTTCAAGGGAATGCCCAAGGGAGATGAAGGGATGAAATGGTGGGGAAATATATAGAAGATCTGCTGGAGATGGGGGATAAGAGAAAGAGGAGGCCACAGCAGTGTTCTGGGGATGAGACTGGGGCCTGAATATGGAGGAAAGAAGGGAGAGTGAAGATCTCCACCTTCGTGTTTGAGACAAGGTGTCTTTCTGAACCTAGAGTTCACCAATTTGTCAAGACTAGCTGGGAAACCAGCTCCAGGGATTCCCCCTGCTTCTGACTCCTCAAATCTGGGATTACAGGAGTGTGTGGCTGCACCCTCTTTCTTGTGGGACCCAAACGCAGGTTTCCAAGATTTTACAGCAAGAACCTTACTGGTTTGGATACCTCCAAATTCCCTTATTATTTTGTTCAGCAAATTACAATCATATATTTATGGATGGCACATTGATGCTATGACACATGCATATTGCACACAATGATGGACTTAAGTAAATTAACATATCTATTATCTCAAATGCCTGTGTTAACTTCTCATATTATTTTATACTCTGTGAGCACTATCTCGCCATTCACTGTATCCCAGGCCTCTGGTAATCACCATTCTACTCTTTGCTTTTAAGAGTCTTATTGCTTTAGAATATATATTTTGATTAGAGTCTACAATTTGTTTCTCTTTCTCAGGCCTATTTCAACTTAAAATAATGCCCTCTTGATTCCTATACAGTGTAACAAATGATAGAGTATTTTCCTTTTTTTAAAAGTTGAGTAATATTTCAATGTGTGTGTGTGTGTGTGTGTGTGTGTGTGTGTGTGTGTGTGTGTGTGTGTGTCTTGGGCACTTATACTAGTTCCATAACTTACCCCCGGCTTAGTTCTAAATCAAATGGCAGACAAAACAGTATTGGTCAAGCAGAGAACCAAATATCAAATTAAGGATGAATGAAGTTAAAGATGTAGTCAAAGTGGCAACCACAAACTGCAAATGTTGGACCTTTTTAGGGAAATTTCTACTTGTAGACTTAGGACATCCTGCTTGAATATAAGGTTTTACAAATGAAGGATGACCAAATGAAGGAGGTAGGTTGGGGGATGGGTCTGTAAGCAGTTTCTCCTAGGAGAAAGAGAAGGAGATGTCTGGACTACTTGACCATACTTCCTCATAAATTTTTAAGGCAATTTCAGCCTCATACAAACTACAGGAATAGCAAAGAGATGGCATCCTTGGGAATGAATGTATTAGTTCTTTGGATGCTTGCAATGACTGTATGGAGTAGGTCTTATAGAGTTTTACGGATGTGGAAACTGAGGCACAGAGAACATCAGCTCTAACTTCCCTGGTCCCAAAGTGAGGATGCTCTACATTCAGCCTCGAATCCTAGCAGTTTGCCCGGGAGGGCACATTTTCACTCCTACCTGCTCTCTTGCACCTCCAATTTTTTAAACTCGTATTTTCTCCAACCTTTTAAAAGTATTAATTTATTCTTTGAAAAATAATAAGAAGGCAAGATTGAAAAAAATTCTCTAAAAATTTCTTTCAGCTTTCATCTTTTCTAACATGTTTTTAAGTTTATTGTGGGACTGTCTGGGTGGGTTTAGTTTAAATTCCTCAGAAAGAGGAGAGATTGGAATAATATTATATACAACTTAAAATATTATTTTGATGAATAGTTAGAGTAGGTAACTGTAACCCAATTCTGTGTTCAATGTGGAAAACCTAACAGCTTAAGAAGTAACAGACAGATGGAATTTTGCTAATGCGTCCAAAAAGGAAATGTGATTTCACATGCATATTATATGCGTGTTTATGAATGCAATCATGGTGTCTGGAGCCTAGGTAGGAAACTCTGATGCAAATCAGTGAAGTGAAATATAAAAATAAAGCATTGCATGACAACTCCTAACGGAGAGCAATGCTGCCTTTAATAAAACCACTTGGGGATATAAACCCGTTTTGTAAGTGGCTGAAGGGTTCTGAGTTTCCCTAGTGAAATTCATACATCACTAAACGAACGTTTGCTGGCTATAACTCAAGTAGCAGCAAGCCCAGCATACCTCCACGGGATGCCAGGATTGGGATCGCCACCAGTAAATCCTGCATTTACTTTGTATGAGAAATATGTAGACCGCTGTATGCGTTTTTTTTTTCTCAAAAGAAATTCACTGAAGCAAGGATTTAGAATTATAATCCAAATGAAGACTAGAGCGTGTGATTTAGGCAACAAATGCACATTGTGTGTGTGAAAGGCACTCACTGTGTGTTTGTTTCCAGCAAAACTGCTTTTTAGTGCTGTGGTTAAAAAGTGTCCAGCCTATGTTTAAATAGACCAAGGGCAATTTGGAATAGTGTTTTTTGGATGGAAGTTTTTTTTTTTTTCCTCCTGAAAATTCAACTTGAATTCACGAAACTTCAAGAATGGCTTCACATCAATGTAAGTTCTACTGATGGAATAAATAGTTCATAAAAGTTTAGTTTTTTTGTCAAGGGAATTTGGGAGTTGGCAAGTCTCAAAAATCTTTAGTTTTAAACCTTGAATGGAATTCTAGCTGGGTGTGCTGCTGTATGCCTGTAATTTCAGCACTTATGAGGTGGAGGCAAGAGTTCAAAGCCTGCCATGCTGCATAATGAGTTTGAGGCTAGCCTGGGCTACATGGTACCCTGTTTAAAAAGTCAAAGTTCCAAACAAAACTCACCCACCTACCAGCTAGCCAACCAAATAAACAACAAATAAACTCCAGCTGATGAACTTGAACTTCTCCTTCAATAAATAAAAGTTACATTATTTGTCTACTAATATATATTGTTGATGACTTGTTAAAACCTAGCGTGTGATTTGATACATGATCTGGTAGGCTGACCAACTCAGCTATCACCCAGGCCCAGAACCATGGTTATGAGTTGCTCCACCCCAACATCCACCTCATCTTTGATCTGTTGGAGCAGGCGAAGGGGACAAACTTACAGATCCAAAACAGCTGGATCTCCACGACACAGGACAACATGATAGTCAAGAGGAGCCCCGGCGAGAGCCTGCTATCAGTGGTATGGCAGAAGTCAGAGGTCTCAAGCCAGGCTAATGACTTGTGGCAAGGAACACTTGCAGCTAAAGATGAACGGACTAAAGGGTAAACTGTGTGACTCAGTGGGTCACAGCAGCTTCCGAAACGAGACCCTTCTTCTTTTTCTTGTTTCTTTGTTTTGTTTGCTTTTTCTTTTAAATTTGGTTTCATTTTGTTTGTGGGGAGGTTGCAAGGGTAGAGGACAGATTCGAGAGGACAGGGAGATAAGTGGAATTAAGATGCATGATGTGAAATACACACAAAAAAATCAGTAAAAGTAAAAAAAAATCCCACAAATACTATGCTCAGTGCATGGCCATACAGAAGGAAGTGGGGGCACGGTTATCAGAATAGTGAGGCTTCATTTATTTGCTGCTTATTTTGAGAACAGTGACCTAGACCTCTTGTGAAATATCCCTCTGCAATTTCTCCACCTATAAATAACTGGCTTTGAGGCTGGTGGCTTCTAATCAGTGAATTATGATTGCTGACTGGGGCTCCATTATCAACCACAGCACTGATGGGGCATTTAATCCTCATAACAACCCTGTGAAGTAAGAATTATAATTACTTTCATTTACTCCCAAGCATACCAACGCCCAGAAAGTTCAGACCACTAGGAAAAATACCGTCAAACCATGTGGATATAGCAGACATTTATTTTGCTTTGCTACTTTCTGGACCTCAAGACACTCCATGTTTTCAATTCTTGCATAATTTACTGAGTTTCTGGGCAACTACCACAGAGTGGCAAAGGATCTACTCAGGATACACACCAAGTTCTACAGCGGTGTTTTAAAGACCGAGAAGGGCATATTCACAGGGCTTGAGAAAAACGTTAACAGGTAGTAAGTAACAAAGCTGCCTTCGAGGTCTGTCTTGGGAGTACCTTGCCATGTACCTAAAGTGTTCACCTTTGTCCTTTTTAGTTCTACAAGGCTGTAGTTCTTTGTAGGCATATTATAGCTTACTACTGTCTCACAGGCAGAACTACCGCTCTGTCTTTTGCACATGTAGTACCAGAATAGACCACACATTTATTCTCAGGGCTGTGTTTAGCAGGGTACTTATCTGTGGTAGAAATGAAAACATACTTGAGAAAAACACCGAATGAAGTTTCTGGATACATGGGATCTGCCGTTGGTTGTTTATAAGATCAAGTTGTCATTTACAAACTCTTAATTTTAATTTTTTAATGCCACTTGGAAAATAGATTACTTGACACTTTAAAAGGTTTTCAGTTTATCAGTGGAGCGTGATGTGTCCTTCCAGCTGCACAGACTGCTGATGTGAGTTCATAGCCAAGGCAGAGACAGTTGTAGCCCTGCCGAGACTTCAGTGGAAAACCACAGAGCAACTGTTGAAGCTTTGAGCAGAGGGAGGAGCCAGGGCCAGCCAGCCGCCAGCCAGCAGACAGAAGCAGGAGGAGCAGGACATACAGAAGGAAAGAAAGGTAAAAAGCCCCGAGGCAAAACATAGATTAAAAAAAAAAGGTTAAAATTAAGTTAAAAGAGCTAGTGGGACAAACATAAACCAAAGGCCAAACATTCATAACTATTAATAAGTCTTCATGTCTTGGTTCGTGGCCCAAAAGAAAGCCTGCTACACCAGAGATCTGCCCATCTCTGCCTCTCAAGTGCTGGGATTAAAGGTGTACGCCACCATGCACTGCTGGGTTTTAGAGTATTTGCAGATGTCTAATGAGTTACCTTTGTGATGAGACTAAAAGAAGATTCACTTACACGTTGTATGCACCTTGAATAGAGAATCCTGAGAATAATTTTGTACATAGTTCTCCTGCACTATGATTATAGTCTCTCAGAAAGCCATGTGGAGTTTTCCTCTTACAGAGTTAAATCAGTGGTAGAAAACTTTCAGATTTTGAATTGTTTTTTTACTTTCATGTGAGGGTGTTCAATTTGTATTTGCATTAATTTTTTTTAATCCTTGAGAAGTAATTTGCTCTTATTTTATTTGGATGAGAGCTCAGAAATGATGGCCTGAAGGTGAAATATGATCTGTCACTGATGTTACTAATTGTCTCATCAGGATCCATGCCTGTCTGTAGTTTTATGATCGATCCTAGTACTGGGTTTATGTCTCAACATTAGAGTTGCAGACTACTTGGCTAGCAAGGCTGAAAATTGCTTTTGATCCTTTACGGTAGCTAAAGTTTGTTCACTTCAACTTTAGACAATCAAGAATGAATTCATTTTGAAATCACCACAAAAATAGAAAATTCAAAAAGTGAAATTAAAAAAGGAACAAAAGCTAAAAAATCCAGAAAGAAATGTTCAAAGGAATGCTTCAAATTTAAACAACTAGAAGCTGGGGAAGTGAACAAAATCCACCTAAATCCCACAAGCAGGGCATTATGATTTCTTTTTTTAAGACATAATGAAAAATGAGCGAGGAAATTATTCTCATCAGATCCACAACTGGAACTGACCAGATCAAATCTGCAATATCAAATTCTCTGTGAAATGAAGTAGGCATCAATTAAATTAGCAAAAATAGAAAAGAAAATTGTTCATCTCAAATTCGTCATTCAGATACAGCCAATGTATCTTTGGCCCAATGATCAGAAGTCGAGGAGAAGTGTATTCATAAAATCTGAAAGTTGGATAAGAAAGTCTAAAGTCTTTGGAGCGCTTTTCTGTTTATTGGATGATGGTTTTGGAAAATGGCTGTCATATCCGGACATGGCTGAGGTTGTTTCTAGCAAGGCGCCATCCGATTCAAATCAGTGATTACAATTTTCCATGGGATAAACATGGCAGAAAATTTATATTTCACTTTAAGTACAAGTCTTGAGAATTCTGACAGAGGCTATTATAGTCTAATTTCAAAGATGAAGCGCCCTGATGCGATTGTTACACTGTTATGTCTTTCTCAGTTTCGTGATTGATTCTGGCAAGCTGAGAAATTTATAACTGGAAACAAGTTCTTGATTAGAATCACATGAAATTAAGCTGAATATGGTAGTGAACTCCTGTAACTTCAAGACAGATACAGGAGGATTGCAAACTCCAGGCCAGCCCGGACTACGTTAGGAAACCCTGTCTCAAAGCAAACATGCAAACAATGAAAAATGTCTTAAGTAGCAAAGAAAAATAAACAAATTTAAGGACTGAAAAATCCAAATTACTCATAAGTAATTGATATTTTCTTAACAAAAGGGAAATATAGTATGGGTTATATGTTTATATAGTGAGCTTAATGCAGAAAGATAATAAGGACTAATATTTAGCCAAGACAACAAGGACTATCAAAGTATTAATATTTACAGAACAACAGAAAACAAATTAGGTGAAGCATAGATTATTGCAGACATGCTGACCAGGTGGATGGCCAGGTAATAGAATTAAAAATAAGGAAAATATAATTTCTTTTTAGGTTGAGAATTCAAATTTTGACTTTTTTTATAAGAAAGTGAATATAAATATTATTCAATTTAACTGGGTTTCAAAAATATTAAGAAACTTCTTAAGTAATAATGAAATTGTGAAACATTGGTTATGAATGTATATTTGAATGTGTTCTATCCACAATACCCTTAGCAAAAGATTATGGCGATTTTTAAAAGAGATGCTGTTCAACAATAGTTTAAAAACTTCAAATGAAACAGTATGTCTTTTTAAAATTGTTTTTATTGAGCTATATATTTTCCTCTGCTCCCCTTTTTTCCTCTACCTTCCCCTTCTACCCTCACCCATGACCCCCATGCTCCCAATTTACTCAGAAGATCTTGTCTTTGTCTACTTCCCATGTAGATTAAATTCATGACTCTCTTAGAGTCTTCTTTGTTGTCTAGGTTCTCTGGGATTGTAAATTGTAGGCTGGTTTTATTTTTTTGCTTTGCTTTATGTCTAAAAGTCACTTATGAGTGAGTACATATATTTGTCTTTCTGGGTCTGGGTTACCTCACTCAATATGATGCTTTCTAGATTTATCCATTTGCCTGTGAATTTCAAGATGTCATTATTTCTTTCTGCTCTGTAGTACGTCATTGTGTAAATGTATCATCTTTTCCTTATCCATTCTTCAGTCGAGAGGCATTTATGTTGTTTCCAGCTTCTGGCTATGACAAACAGTGCTGCTGTGAACATAGTTGAGCACACGTACTCATGGTAAGATTGAGCATCCTTTGGGTATTTATCCCAAAGTGGTATTGCTGGGTCTTGAGGAAGGTTGTTTCCTAATTTTCTGAGAAATCGCCATACTAAAATCCAAAGTGACTGGACCAGCTTGCACTCCCACCAGCAATTCAGGAGTGTTCCTTTTACCCCACATCCTCTCCAGCATAAGTTGTCATCAGTGTTTTTGATCTTGTCCATTCTTACAGGTGTAAGATGGAATCTCAGAGTTGTTATGGTTTGCATTTCTCTGATGACTAAGGATGTTGAACATTTCCTGAAGTATCTGTCAGCCATTTTAGATTGCTCTGTTGAGAGTTCTCTGTTCTGGTCTGTACCTCATCTTTTCTTTATTGTATTGTTTGTTCTTTGATGACCAACTTCTTGAGTTCTTAGTATGTTTTGGATATCAGTTTTCTGTCCAATACGGGGTTGGTAAAGCTCTTTTCCTCTTCTGTAGATGGTCATGAAATAGTGTTTCTATACTGCAAGAAATTACAGGTGATCGATGTAACCAGTGGGACATTTCATTAAAATAGGAGGAAATCACAAGAAATACGAACATTTCCTTAATTATGCAGAAACTGTTGTAGACTATTGTCCATTATTAGAAGCAAATAATGATCTCAATTTGTGAAAGATAGGAATGAACTGAGCAAGGCAGAGCTTTTTTGGTTCTCTTTGTTACAGTTAGTGTTAAAAATGAAAAATGAGAAGAAGCTCAGGACGTGCTCAATGGTGCAGAACCTGCTTTCAAGATGCTTGAAGATTTCGTAAAATCAAAGAGATTTACATCTATGATTAAATGACTCCATGATACTTTAGGGACACTTTATTATAAGCATTCCATTTTAGTATCTGAACACAATGTGTTGGTTTCACATTCTGTTTTCCAATCTAAATGTTGTTTTCAACTGTTGCTGACAGTTACCATTGTCTCAGCAAGACAAAATTTCTCCTGATTATCTGGAAACATACCTATTTAAGAATTCCTGATTTGTCTGCCCCTATAAAAACCTGAGTGATAGCAGAATAAGTAGTCAATTTATAAACATTTTGCAAGATACACATACATTTAAAAATTAATGATGTTTTTTCCAATATGGCATCACCCACATATGGCTAGACTGTAAATACGACTCCCACATAAGTACAGTGGAAGCCATACCGTTTTCTTTGTTAATTTGTCAGTCTTCAACCACATACAAACCACAGTTTTCAATTTGGAAGGTAGAACGGTAGAGAATGTTATTTTGGAGTATATCACTGTGTTAGGCTTGTGTAAAACTTAAGTTTTTAGCTATGGATGTCCTCATTTGTATCCGGTAGGAACAGAGACTGGCCTCCCCTAATCCCTGAATTAAGACAGAACACAAGAAGACACCAGTTACAAGGGTTGTATCTTTTCTGTAGCCTTCTCCTTCCTCACTTTCAAATAGATACGTCCTTTTAAAATCTCAGAAGCGGCAATTTTGCTGTCATCCCAACTGCTTAATATTTTACTCCTGATTTGGTGTCTTCAGCTTTCTCGACTGGAGAAAATGTTTTGGTGTTGAGTGTAAGTCAACTTTTCTCCAAAAAATCTAAAGACATTTGCTTTTGGTTTTTTTCCCTGGTTGCTTCCAGGGAGAAGAAATGTCATCCCATCTAAAAGAATCACTAATTTGCCAAAGTCTAGACCTATTAAATTGAACAATTGATCACAACAAAGACTATGCTCTTATATTCAGCAGTTATGAAACACGGCATGCGCCAGAGCTGTTAAAATCACAAGTTCTGTTATTGCCAATGTGGGAAACCAGATCATTTTTAAATGCATGTTTATGTGAACTTGTGCTTTTTGTTTCATGTAGTAGGTGATATTTCATGAGAACTTTTTCAGCGTGTGTCCAACGTTGTAAACAGAAAGTCAAAATACACCTAACATTCCCACTGGCGTCTATAGCATAGTGAAGGAGGCAGGAACTACCACATTTTACTTAAGAAGACAAGCTATTTTTGCTTCCATCAGCACTGTCTAAGTTAGCAGTACTTGCTCTAGGCACAGAAATGATCTTTATTCATAAGCTCATCACCACAATGTGTTCTTTATTAATTCACATTTTTCTTAGATTGAACACATCCAGTCTTTACATGCTGAGGGTCATTGAAAACTGAGCAAACGCCTGTGCCCTGTAATTTTCAGTGCTTACAGAAATATTGAATAGAAATGTCCCTATCATTCATTTGGTATTTTGTCAATTTGTTTCCATTTGGTTAACCTGATGAATACCATACATGTGAGCTTGGCTGGGCGTTTTGAATTAAATCCCACACT